AGTCGAACCGAGCCGAGCCGAACCGAACCGAACCAAGGCGGCTGACCGGACCAAACCGAATCCGATCGATCGGACGTCGGTCGGGCAATCGATCGATTGATAACTCATCGCCGCACCTCCGTCTATTCCTCCTCTCGGCGGCTTCAAGAGCCGACCAACCATGGGTCATTGCGCGAGCAGGGAAGAGAAAGAAGCTCGGAAACGCAACAAAAAGATCGAGGACCAAATGAAGAAAGACCAGTCGCTGTCGATGCGCACCATCAAGCTTCTTCTGCTTGGTAAGAGCGACTCTCGTCTCTTCTTGCATTCATAATCTTTCTCTCTCTCTCTCTCTCACGCACACACAAACAAGCAGAATGACCGTATCATCGACTGCTTTTCTATTTCTAGGAGCCGGCGAATCGGGCAAAAGCACCATACTGAAACAGATGAAGTGAGTACACTCCCCGTCGAAATGTGCTTTGTCGTGTGTGTTTGTCTGAAGCTGCGTTTGAGTGAGCTGGCAAGCTGGCGAACTACGATTGAATGAGCAAATACATGAAGAAATCGGAGCCGTACTTAGCGTTAACCAACGCCGATCGATACCACCGTCATTATCGAGTTCTGCACTTCGCGGTCATTGCCACCGTCTCCCTCGCCGTCCTCATTTTCACGATGAGGAGAAGCGGTAGACGACGTACAAAACACAGTGAGAGCGAACCTCGTCTGGAATTTAGCGCCTCCTTAGTGCGTCGACTACGATCTCACGATTTCGCTTTCCCCTCCCGCTCGGCTTCGATCTGCTGTTAAGGTCGTTCATCAGTAAGGACCTCCTCCAATAAGTACAATTGACGATGAGTACCATAAACGAAAATGATTTGCCTTAAATTTAGAAATTAGCCGTTGATTCGATGAAAACCTTCTGAAACCGCTATATATGATCACATTTTGCTTATGGTCATTCAATACTGGCTAAAAGAGACTATTCCTCGCCAAAATGAATTAAGTTCTTCTCGGATCTTCGCTTCCATCACTTCATCGATAACCGTAGTTAATACTCGAACTCGTTCTACCTGCAAATTGCGGTCGTTTCGTTCGCACACAAATTTGACCTATACTGACCGCTTGCCATAAAAGTAAGACTTATCAAAGACGCGTGGTTTCCTTCGTTCACTGCTTTGCAAATAAATTAAGTGTAAGCTGAATCTACTCAGTGGCACCTGTTGTGGCCACGGTTCATGAATGACGATGATCAAAAAGATGAAGGCCTGAGAACGCAGCGATATAACAATTTTCAACCACTTCAATGTGATCGGAAAATTTTACAACTCACCCTCGTTGGGATTAAGACACAACACTGCTCTTGAAACTCTATGATGATAGCCCTCACTCTGTCGTAGATCTTTGTTTGTCGGCCTTCGGATTGTGGGCGAAATTTAGCAACGGTTTTCATTCTTGACGATGCAATTGATTGATGTACTGGCTGTGTCAGCATTTCACTGTTATGTGTGATTGATACCTGTATACGCTGAACGTGATTCGCTGTTCTGTTAAAACCAGAAAATCCTGGATTTACCACACTATCGCTGGACCCGTCTCGAAAACTAAACTCTCACACTGTCCTTCAGTGTTATAAGTTGAGGATTAAATGGCAATGCAATGAAAGCTACCCATTACCGGCTCGGATTTGACAGCGATTAAGTGTCAGTACATTCTACTATGAACGGGTTAACACTTTAAATGGTAAAATATGCACATTTTGCAAGGAGCGTATTACTATGGCATATTACGGTTGTTACTAACTGACTGAAAGTAGTTTATGTCATTGCCTGTTCAGAAGACAAACCGCTTGATATGGATTGTACTGTCCTTTAAGGATAAATTCGAATAGACGCTCCTATTTCGTCTATCCTGATTTGTCATTGAAGCGTACCTTTTCGAACAAGATTCAATTCAAAAATTTGGGCGTCTGTCGTTGTGCCGTTCCTGTGCTCTGTTATCGCACTGTTTAAAATGAATCATTTTACAGTGGTAAGAGGTCGGCTTCGTACCTCGTAGCAGCTAGGCTCAAATCGCTAATTAACATGATCAACATCATGATTAACCATCGACGGTGTTATCATGGTCCTCTGGGGTTGTCACCCCAAAATGGGTGGAAGCTACGATCATACCGTCTGACTCAGGTGCTTCAGAGGGTTGCAATTCGCCTTGAACCCAAGATAGCTGAATAGTCAGTGTGATGAACAGCACAAGATGTATACCCTACTGTTGTCGGTTCATGACTGATCGCCAGTTCCATCATAGCGATAACATAAACATCGTCCATACAGGATGACGTTTCGAGCTTACAAATTTGTCAATGAACCGGATTAGTAGACGTGAGATCTTTTTTTCTAAGAGAAGATGGGCACGCAATGGAAAACAACCGGTGGACGCACGATTAAACATTGGGTTCCGCTGGGCCACAAACGTCCACTGAATCGTCATGGTAAACTTCCGGTAGACTGTAAACGGAGGACAGAGATTACTGGAGGAGAATCGACCTGCGTTCAAGGCACATCCTTAGCGAGTAAACTTGCACAGCGGATCAAATAATGTATTTTTATCTGTCGTTCGATTCCATATTCACTTTATAGCCTTGCCTTAACTGTGAAGAGTGGAATTGCAGTTGGATGGCACTGCTTATCTAAAGGTTAGAACGACCCTTTAGGCAAATATGTCAAAATGTAAAGCAAAACAATGAAAACAGGCCATTGACGCTCCAGTAGAAGTAGTAGCGAATATTTAGGGTATGTGATGGTTGAGACAGACGATAATTAGAGCAGTGAAGGATGATGGGCATTGTTCGTCCATTAATTTCGTATCCACGGCTAAATCCTTGTTTAGAGGGCTCGTTTTTTTTCGAAACAAACAGTCAAAATTTGTATAAGGCTTAAGTCTCTCTGCAAATCAATTAGTACACCATACCAAACCTTCTCCGACCATCAAAAAAATACAAATTTCCAGCAAGCAGCCAATGAGTAAGACGTTTCAATCCGCGGAAAGACAGAAAGAAGGCATGAGTTGCGATGAGCAGTCAAATCAGCGTTGAAGCGAATCGCATGGAATCAGACAACATGGGATGAAACGAACCGCCAGAAATTCGGTTTCCATTCATTCCCTCTGACTGATTTAAAGTCAAGAAAAGCGATCGCACGACGTCAAGGACGATTATCAAGTCGCTAAACGATTGCTGTGAATCCAAATCTCTAAGGCAGTGCCTTGAAACAAGGCGACAACGAGTAATTCACTTGGAAGACTCGGTTTTTCTTCTCTTTGTGTACTTAGAACGGTGTGTTTTTCCCTTAGCACATACGCGTAGAGCGCCAAAACCAAGTTTCTCCAAGCC